GCTTTAATCCAAACTTACTTTCTTCTTTTGATTTTCATTTGCAGTTCTGTTTTAGTAGTTTGAACCTAAAACATATGGATGTCATTTCTGTCAGTTTCTGTGTCTGTAGCAAGTGGAGGACTTGGACATCTGTTTTCAAGCCCATTCTCTTCCATACAGGAAGAATGAGGGTTTTTAATTTTCCTCACTGATAGATTCATAGCATTGTAGAAAAGAGCCATTGAATAATTTAGGTTGGAAAAGATTCTTGAGTCCAACCCTTAACCTAGCACTGCTAAATCCAAAGCTAGACCGTGTCCTTAAGTGCCACATCCACTCATCTTTTAGATACTTCCAGGGATGGTGGCTTAACACTTCCTGTTACCAGGTTTTTCTTCAAATGTGGTGATTTGTTGTAAAATGGAGATGTGGTAGCCAACAGTGTTTAGTCTTGAGGAGTGACTTGTTGGCATAGTAGTTTGTTTTATAGGAACAGGTAGGCAAATAGATGTTGCCTATAAGGTAGTGTAGGAAAATTGGAATAGTCATCATCACCAATGCAAAGTAAAAATTAACACTATAATCACTACTATTACAGTTACCAATAACTGTGTAATGATTTATTACAGCTTTGTCCTAATTTAAAAATAGCAATTTATGTGGTAATGAGAGAATGTAAAATATCATTATAGAACAATATAAAAAAATATCTCATTACTGCAGAGCCAATCTTGTTAGTCATTTGTGTTCAGAAGTCTTGTGAAATTTGGGCAGAACTCAAGTGGCCCTGTAGTTCTTGAACAGAGATCATACTGTGATTTTTATGTAGTTATGTGCCTTCTAAAAATCTGGTTCTTGTTGTTTTGCTTCTGTAAATGTGTATTGGTCTACAACATTTTTTATCACTGATGTGTTGGGTAAAACCAGAATAAACCTGGGTGTTGGTTGAACAATGTAAGAAAGGTTAACTCTCAACAAAAAATAATTTTATTTTAAAATTTATGACAACTCAGTAAGACGTACTCTGTTTAATTGAGCTTGTAAAAATATTTCCCAATATTAAAATTTTAAAAATATTTCTAAATATTTATGATTTATGCAGGAACATTAGTGCTATTTGGACAGACTTCAAATGTGGAGGAAGCTTTCTGTAGGAAGAAAAGTAGTTTCATTCATTAAATAAGCATCAGTTCTGAATAGTGGAGATCTATCAAAAGATCTCTTTTTTAAAAGGACAGGATAATTCAGAGTAGTAAATAAGCATAATAAAATGACAGGAACTTTTTACAGCTTTTCCCCCCTACATGACATGAAATTGTATAACGTTCCCTCTTTTGATTTACTCAAGAGTCTTTTAAAATTCTCTTGATTTATCTGTTGAGTTTTTTTATACGCATGATCAACTCACATGTGTCCAACAGTAATGTCTTCATGGATTTTAATGAGATTCAAGCTCAGGTTCTGTTTTTTTTCACCAGTCTAAATCCACAATGCAGGACTGAAAGAATCCTATGGTTGTCCTAGATGTCTTTTAAACTGTCAGATTTTTTTTAAGTTTGTAGGCACTACTTGTTGGTAGCGTCTTTGCAATGTGATAGTTACAAAGCTGACTGGAATATAAACACTATCTGTCTCAAAGCCAGGGCATTTGGCTCAGATGACCTTAGTTTTGTTTAAAAACATTTTGATTGGCTTTATAAATCCCCCATCTCAATTAAAACCAGCATGTTTGAAGATTAAATGACTGTGAGAAGCAGCTAGGTTACCTTAGGTAGCACTGAGTAGCAGTGTAACACTGCAATTACTCAGATGTGCTTACACTGTCTTTTAGGGAAAGTTACTGCCATATAATAAATAGCATTTCAGAGAACTTTGAGAAGGCTGGTACATTTGTTGGCAACCTTTAATTGCTCTCTTGCATGTTGTATACACATGGTTCTGACAGTATTTTTTCTAAGTTTCTTACCAGCTCTTCAGGACCATCTTGGGTTTAGGCCAATAACAAAACAGTACTGTAGCTGAGTATCCGTATTTAATCTTACTGTCAGCTTTTAGTGAGGTATTAACACTTTAATTGTTCTGTCAACAACACTGTGAGCACTCTTCTAGTGCAAGAAAAAAAGCTCCATCTGCAGCTCAACAATTCCATGTGTGGCTTGAATTACTTCATGAACTGAGCATTCACAAATGAATGCAATACCCAGAAAAACTGAGCAGGCATTGAAATTGCAGAATCACAGAGTGGTTGGAAGGGAGCACAGTGGATCATCTGGTCCAGCCTGCTTGATAGTGTAGCTATTTCATATTTCCATGAAACTCAGTTTTATTTGTAAGAGCACTGTAGGGTGAGTTCTTTCTAAGAAGACATGATAACATTAAGACTCAGTTATTTCCTTTTTCATAATACATTTTGGAGGAAATAATCTTAAAACCTTGCTATATTTTGGTTGGCATTTGAATTAAAAACTTATGATAATGAATTTATACCTGATAAAATGAATTTATACCTGATAATAACCTAAAATTTATACCTGATAATCCCTTGTTTGTTTATATGTGTTTATATCCGTGAAAGACCACTGGCAGCAAGAACTATGCTCTTCTGTCTTTTCTTTTAAAACCTGAACAAACATTTATCATACAATCAAATTACAATTGTATTTTTTACCTCTGCCAAGGAAAATTAAAACAAAAATTCAAATAAACTTTCAGTTAAAAAAAAAATTTGAACAGGTATAATAGCTTACGTGTATTGTTTATTTTCAATTTGAATTTCACTGGAAATGTCTGATAAAAGAAGTGACTCTTGTTTCGTGTTCTGTTTCAAGGTTAGACCTTTACTGTGAGTAAGATCAAATTCTCTTTAGCATTAATACACAGTGCTTAATAATTTTTTTTGCAATGTAAGAGAATTTTGTCCAGAACATCCAGGAAAAATTATCACTTCATATTCTATTTATATACTTAACTGCAGTGATTAAACAGATTAAAAAAACAGATTTCTAGCACTGTGTTCTGGTCCTGAATTTTGTTCCTGATCCTGCCAAGATTCAGTTGCATGCCAATTTGTATCCTTAAGTCTAGTGCCATTAATGTTCACCAGAACTCCTTGGCCTTGAACTTCCAGGTAGACACATGCATAAATCCTATAAGGCTTAGAGCTCTTTATTCCATGAATGCTGTTCTGGTGGAAGAGCTAGCTGTAGTTTCTTGCTATTACCAATTCCTGTGTAATGACATTTATTACTGCATTTTGAGGCAACTCATTACCAGAAGCTGCTAGACTCCTATTTAGTTATTAGCTGGGTACAATTAGAATTGCTTTAATCAGCTGAGCTTGTTCAGCTGAATTCACATTTTCTTTTGCTGAAGGGGAGATCTGAGTTCATCAGCCTGTACTTCAGACACTTTGAAACCATGACCTTAAATAATCCTGGATGTTCTGACCATACACAGTCAAAAAGTATGTGTTACTTAATTGTAATTGTAAAAATGAATTAGAGAGAATGGTTATCATCTTTAACCACTATTTGTACCCAGTTTAATGTATGGTTTTTGCAACAGGGGATATAGCCTTCCTAATGATATGTACATACAAAGTCTTACCGGACAGGCCAGCATGTAAATTCTTTTTTTCATAACCATCTAAATTTTCAAGTACTTTAAACTACTTGACACCTCTTTGATGGTCTGAAATTTGGGGGATGCAGGCAAAAAATACTAATCTTTACATGTGAAGATCCCTGTCTATCTATCAGGTGGCTTTAGACCAATTGACTGATTGTTACCTGAGATAAGCTTCTATCAGAACCTTGGTATTTAGCTGTTCCTCACTTCTCTGCTCAGTAGCTTCCCAGAGGAAAGCTTCCTGAGTTTTGCGTGGCTGATACGCCTGCATTTCCTCATTGTAGGAGGCCTGGGGGTTAGTGAAAAAAGTCCAAGTCCAATATAGTTCCCAAACTTCAGTGGTTTGAATACTCTCTGGAGATTTTTGAAAACAATGTAGAGGAGAAGGTGCTTCTGTGGGAAAGAAAGATGTCCAATAGAAGCTGCTGGCTTACTAGGGGCAAGTTGGCATCAATTCTCACTATGCAGGTTAAAACAGCATTTATTCTTTAGACTTAGTTTTGAGTCAGCTAACTCTGGAGAAAGTAAACCACTAATTTAGATTTCAATTTAGAGCTTAATGCATTCTTCCAGCCGGTGGGGCTAGAATAATAGCAGTATAAGTAAAGAAAACTAATGTGTCTTTTGGTGTAAGAGTGGCATTATATTAGAGTTAGATTATGTCACCAATAAGAGCTCAGTAACGTCCAGCAGCTACACTGATAGCAAAGATGCTGAAAGAAAGAGAAATCCTAGTGGCTTCAGCAAAAGAAAGGAATACAGAGCTTGTCTTGGCTTATAAAGTCCTTGAAGTCTGAAAACGTGGAAAATATGATGGGAAATGTACATTGGCTAAACCAAATCAAATTCAAAAGCCTGTGAATGAAAGAGTGCAAAGGCAATGTCGTCTGAAGGGGATGAATCTGAATTGAAAGAGGAGTTGCTTAGGTTTAGCTAATCAGATTTCATAGAGATTTTACTCTAAGTTAGGATGATTTCAGGGCTGATGAGATGCAGTAATCTGGAAAGATTTTTTTGATCTGAAACAAACAGGCTAAAGGACCTGAATGTTGAGGCAAAGGGAAAAAGTACTATGCTACATTATTTCTACTTTCATGTCAGGCATCTTAGGTTTGAGCTTTACTTTGAGCTACCATGCCTAGCAGTGAAAGTTTCTTCAACAAATTGCTGCTGACAAATTGGAATCATGATGATGAAGTGGTACAGGTCTTAATTTAAGGCAATTATTTTTGTTGGGTACGAGGAATAGAGCCATGTTTTTTTTTAAAATACATTATCCATATTTTTCAGTAGTTGTATCTGAAAAAAAGAACTTGTGGCTATTGGGGGGAAAAGTATTTAAAGTGATTATTTATGTTGTCTACAAAATAATATTAATTTTTTTTTCTCCACAGTAAAACCGACAGTTATTGATGTTGACATTTATGTTAACAGCATTGGTCCTGTATCATCAATAAATATGGTAAGTGACTTACAAAGATTTTTATCTGGATTGCTGATCTTGGCATCAATACTAACTTTTGAAAAAGACACTAAATACCACAGTGATAAGTTGTTTTGATTCTGATTTACTCCTGTTTTTAGCTATAATTCTGGTTTTTATGTCTCATCAAGAGAACAAACGTGTAAGCAATATTGTGTTCTGTGTTGTCTATTGAAACATGCTGGTAGATTTTCAGTGATAAAATAGCCATCTTAGGAAAAAAAAGTTTGAAGTGAAGTCATTTTCAAGAAAGCTCTTGAGATGTTGTTTCAAGATGCAATCAAATATACAGCTTAATAATGTGGAGTTAATGAAAGTCATCGTGTAATAACAGCATATTTATTTGGAATTCATAATCTCTTCAGTGGTTGCTTTTCTTTCACTGAGTTACCAACAGTCTTGAATGTAAGAGTATAATTTTGAAGAAGTTATTCATAGATGTACTGTATGTGTAAAGGCAGGAGAAACTGAGAGTGTGATTGTGTGGCAATAATAAACCTATGGTTGGTCCCTTGTTACAGTCTGAACTCTAGGTCTTTCCTCAGTGCTGCAGCAACATACTCAGATTTAAAAAGCAAGCTGAATGTTTATGTAGATATGGGGTTATGGGTAGTTGTGGCTGCTTGTGCAACTTTTGAGTTTGGATTCATCATATTATTCCCCTTCTTAAATTAGGTTGATTTTTTTTTAAATACAACTTGGAAATGGAGGGCCTGTTAATGTCTTACTGTACTTAGAGATTTAAAAAAAAAACTCTTCAAAGCAATGTCTCTTTTCACAATGGCATTCAAAGGCTGCCCTGTACAGTGTTCCTATAAGACTCTAATGAATGCATTGCATGTATCTTTTGTATTTTTGGAAGAAAAGCTCCTGAAAAAGGTGTCTGTTCAGCCTTATTCTTTGGTTTTGCCTATAAATATGAAAGTAGGCAAATCATTGCAGCATATCAAATACAAGGTGGTCAGAGACTCCTATGCACCCTTGTAGTTGAAAATCTGACAAGTAAACACAGAAACAAATTATGTGCTGTGGACATCTTGGTGTCATATTCACCAACTGTGAAATGTGTTGATTGATATTTCATGTGAAGTACTGAATGTCAAGCAATGGGAGTAGCTGCTCCATTCTTGAACTAATAAATAGCTAATTATCTTGTCCTTCCCCGATGGCCTACTGTGGATGCCAGTCTGGTCAGGGAGAGAGAAACAGCAATCGTTTCTCTCAGTGGCTACTGGGAATTTTAGGGAGTTGTAGGAATGTGATAACTTGCTAGTATAAACAATCTGCAGGTGGTGTTTTCCACTTTGTTTTCTTGTTCTTCTCAAGGATGGTGTGTAAGAAAGGTGTTTTTTATTAACTAGCCAATCAAGTGGAGTGTATCGTATCGTTCTATATAAACCAAAGAATCTTTTGTAATAAAGCTTCTTTTTCTGCCCTTGCAGTTGGGTCTCTTGTCTGCTCTTGTGCCATTCTTGGCTCAAGGGTGACAGCATACCATAATGACTTCTCTGGAGAACAATTTATTGGAAGGTCCTTGGCTTGCATTTACTCTAGGAATGGGCACTCTGTTCCAAAGCAATGGGGACAATGTGTTTTTGCTCTTTGCCTCTCTGAATTAGTTTGTAAGTAGAATTTTGGGGTGCTGGAAGTGCATGTGGAATAATAAGAAAGCATTTCATCAAAACTACTTCAGGTAGAAGGAAAAAATTAGTAATATAAGAAATCAGTGGGTTTTGGAAGATTATTGTGGCACGGACTAACTTATGTATTAACTTTTAGTTCAATATACCTTTTGAGTTCAAGATACCCAAAATAGATAAATGCACCAAAATATCCATTTTAAAAACGCATATTGTATCTCTTTTATAGTAAATGGTCTTGTTAGGATGGTTAATGAGTGTATGACACTGAGATATTTCTTGCTTACAGCTGAAGAAAAAATAAGTGTAATGTGTAAGGGCAGAATGGTAAGTAAAAGAATGAAATACAAAATTTAGGTATCTGAGGTTTAAGGACTCAAGACTGCTTAAAGTTAAAGTTATATTTAAACTTTAGAATAGACATGGACATTATTTCAGGTGTGCTTGTGGACAGTACATCCCATTGAAACTGAATCTGAACTACCTTAGTATTTTTGAATTTCATTTCTGTTCTCAAACCTAATTACCAATATAGGAAATTAACATTAACTCAAATGTAACAAAATTTTGTCCAAAAACTCCATTTCTGCTCTGTTACTTTGGAGTTTGTCCAAACATACATAAGAGAGCAGTAATGATCTTGCAGTCTCAAATTTACAGTGAAGATGGCAAGTCCTCACAAAATTGCAGGCCACTGTGCTGTATGATGGCTTGTCTCTGAAGTGGCAGAACTGACTGAGAAGCTTCTTCTCCCCCAGTTTGTGTTATTTCAACTGTTTGGCTACAGTATTCAGTAGCCATTATTTGGTCTACTGGAAGAAAAAAAATCAAACACTTTTTGGAATTAAAAATAATAATTTATTTACTTTTAAGTAAGCAGTTTTTCATGTAGACTGTGAACCACTGAAGCATGGGTACACAAAGAGTTGAACAGAAATAGAAGCTAGAAATTACCTGTGTCAGAGGAAGAGGAAGAAAGGAAGAATGGATGTCTTTAGTCTGGTATGTGTCATATAACTGAAATTTCAAAGGGAGAGGAATGTGCATGAAAATCTCATTTCAGGAGAAAAAATAAGGGGATTCTTGGTAGAGCCCACCTATGCTCTTTTTCTCACCAGGACAAGAACTTTTAACTTTCTTCCCCTAAATTATTATTAAAAGTTGAGCTGTTCTGTCCAGGCAACTTGGTAAGATTTATCAAAAAGAGTGATGATTACTTTGATTTCCATCTCTTCTATTTCACGGGTGAGATCATCAACACGTACAAGGCGGACTTTCCTGCTGTGTACTTCCAAACTTAGACCTTAGCTCAATTACTTTTTTCTTAGTCTGCAGCACTTCTGAGGGAAAATCATGTGGAGCTTCTCTAGAAATCAAACTCTGCATGTATATTTTCTGATCAGTTTTCATCAGTGATTTTCATCTAGTGGGTGAAACCTAGGAAATAATTTTCTTTAAGATATTTTTTCAATGGGTGTTCAGCTGAACATTCAAGCCGATTTTGTAGAGCAAAGCTTTTCAGGTGTCACTAACTGTTGCAATTATGCTTAGACTTCAGCATGAATATTAATATCTAATGGATTCTTAACAGTCAGGAAAAAGACAGTTGCTATCAGACACCTACTTGTAGCAAAGTTAATCTCAGATGAACTGCATGTGAATACAAGGAAGAATGAATCTTTTTAGAGTGAGGCTGTAACTGCCACAAAGGGAAGAAATATTAGGGACCTCATCAAAAAGGCTTCAGGTCAAAGGAGAGGTCGTGTTCTGTGGCAAAGACACCAAAATCCACAGGGATATACGGCTAACCCTGCATTCCAGACTTTCTGCAGAGAGTTTCTGCCACTTCTCCTAAAAGTCTTAGCAGTGTCTCATTTTCTAGGTACTTTCAATATGTCTATTTTAGACCTCAAGATTTCCAGAAAGAGTAGAACAGTAATGTGGTTGGTCTTCTATTAGAGACTCATAATTATCTTTATGAAGACAATAGAAACTTGTTTTCTTAATAGACAGGGGTGACTCTTCCTTTGTCTGTGACATGGAAGATTTCTTTGGGTCATGGTTTAAAAAAACCTGATATGAAGAAATAGGTATTGTGTAATAACAGACAAGGAAAACCAGACTGAATAATGAACTTAGTGATACTAGGAAGTGATTGTGAGTAGCAATAGCTTTAAAGAAGTAATTTCAGCATTTTGAGTTATGGCATGATGTTATGAAATGGTAGATACTATTGATATTATGAGTATTTTCAATTTAAAATTCCAAGATACATGAATGCCCATTCAAAAATTTTAGGCTGTCATTTTAATAAATGAAAGCCATCTCATATATAATATCTTGCCTGTCCTTTATCAAGAACATAATAGGACTTAGACTCATTTAAAGGATATAAAATCTGGTTTATTCAAAAGTAAATGACAAATGCATTCTATGAGCCAAATTATATGTTCTTGAGTGCACATTATATCTCTTTGTCTTGGTTTTCATCATCCAATAAAGTAAGTTAAAGAAATCTGCAATTTGCCATTTCAAGGTGCAATGTCATTGGAGATGTTAGGCTGTAGGATGCAAGATTTTAATTCAATCTTTTCTTATTGAAAATATTTGTTATATCTGTAATTATAATGACTGCTCTACCATATTAGAAAATCTTAAGGATCTTCTAAATGAGTTCTCTTGATTAATTTTTAATTTTAGAATTCATTTGCAATTTTTTTTCCTCATGCTTTTTATTGTAAAGCAGATGTATGAATTTCATATCACTCAGTTTTTAGATGTCTGCCTTTTAAATTTTTTTTTCTTTAGTATTTTCCATTGAAAATGGTGTCCAGGAGGCATATGATTTTGCATTAAAACCCATAAGCCATTTTTCATCAACCCTCTGGTTCTTGTCAATAGCTGTAAAGGTTTATAGATGGCCTTGTAAACCATAGTCTTAACATGGCTTACTGTAACCTGGTTTTCTACAGATAAGCAATACTGGCTTGTCTATAAAAGAACAGAAAAGGGAAAGAGACCAATAATCAAATTGGGAACTAGACATAAATAGTGGGGGAAAAAATCCCCTAGAAGTAGTTTTGTGAGACAGAAAAGTAAACACGCTGAGATTAAATAGACTATTAAACTTCAGTGGCGTCAAAGCCTGTGTATTTATGCATTCACACAAACAGGGTTAACTGAGTAGCTACAAGAATCTGAGATTGCAGCACAAATTGCTAGTGAAGGAAGAATTTTACGCCTGTGTGGTTTTTGCAACTGGAGTCTCATTTTAACACAGCTGTACGGAAAGAATGTTGAAGAGAGTGTGAAAAACAACTTTATAAACTGTACTTACCT